AAAGACCCTTGCAGGTGAAGCCGCAGAGAGAAAGAAGTCCCTTTAAAACAAAGGAAGTCTAGTCAGTAAGAAATCCCCCAAAATTCAACAGCAACCAAACCAGAATTATCAGTTGACCTCAAGATGGAGGGAGGTACTCACTAAGTTAGATGTTCCCTGGGGATGACTCTACAGGGGGACCAAAAGTGTTTTATAAACCAGAGAAGCCCGGTCAGTGGTAATTGACAGTCAGATTTGTCCTTGGACCTAGTGATGAAGGGAATTACTTACCAAAGGTAAGGTTTGGTCTTGACGAAACACGGGCAGAAAGGAGGTCCTTATGCACAAAAGAGCCGCAGTCAGCCAAAGTTCCACAAATTCCAATTGAAACCAAACCAGAATTTATGACTTGACCTCAAGTCAAAGGGAGGTACTCACTGAAAATGTTTTCCCTTTGGGTGGCTCTAAAGAGAATAAACACTGCGCACAACAGGGCCTTTTGAACACAACAGAGCTTGATGGTGAGGAGGCAGGGGCTGAATGGGGGTATGTTTATAGAGAACAGAAGACAAGTCAGCACCAACCCGACAGAAATCAGAAGAAACAAAACCAGAATTTTCCCCTTGACCACAAGCTGATGAGAGGTACTCACTGAGATTCCTGTTTCCTGCGGGAAACTCTGCAGGAAAGAAAGATGGGGCCACAAGGGAAGTCATCAAATTCACAAGTGAAGTCACAGGGGCGCAAAGGGGTCATTTCATGAAACACACAAGTCAGCAACACCCCCATGACCTCAAGGTAGGGGGAGGTACTCAACAAGTTTTCTATGTACTGTATGTGATATCAATTTTGAAATGTAAGTGATAAGCAGCCACAATCTCCACCCTTACCTCACCATGGAAGGAGGCACTCACTGAGCTTCAATTATGTTGTGTGCAATTCATGTACCCGGAAAACACCCCCTATTTAGTTATGGTACAAGTCATGAGTACCAGACCTGGAAGTCAACAAAATGAACCCAGGTGGCCATGATGACAGGTGTTACTCACTGAGAATGCAGTCTGTGTCAGGTTTCAATTGATGTGCAATTCTGAATCTATTCAAAGATGATTGAAAAAAAAAAATCAACAATCACCAAAAGAAGTACCACCTGCAAAGGGTACCTCTAAAACCCAAATAATTAATAACAATCCTAGACCAACAGTCACAATAATCTAAAAAAAAAAATAACAGGGGAAGATAAATCAACAGAAATATGCTAGAAAGATACAAAAAGTTCAGTCCAGCAGTCTAACAATTCACATCCCATGTCCATGTCTACCTGGTCCCCAGAGGAGGCACTCACAGAAGATCAATCTGGTTGTTGACACACCCGGACCTTTTGATGGCAGAGTGAGAGTCCCCAACCAGCTAACCTATTGAATATCGTCGTCAGTTCCAAAATAAAAAAGACAAACAATAGAATCAATGAAGAGCACTGGAAATAATCAGCTTACAGATGATACTACCTGCTCTGTATATCGAGAGGAACTTCATCAGCCGAAAAACTGTCGTCCACTTAATATAATAAACAAAGATGAAACAACTTAGAATGAAACTTACCCAGAAAAAAGCCACACAACAGAAACCTGCCCTACAGATTGGTTCAATGCCGTCAAATCACTGCTAGACTGAGGAGATACCAATGCGTTTCTTCCTCCTTCTTCATCAACGAGTTATAAACGATATTATCCCTACAGATCGCCACCGTTTGAGGTCAGGCAGAGAAATACAAGCACAGGAGTGGTTCAGCATTCATATCCACATCATGTCCAAGAAGATCGACCTCGAGCCAAACCCAGTTCAGCTCGAGGTCCACGTTAGCAATGTACCTGAACAAGTGGGCTTAGGTGTTGGAGACTCACTCACCAGTCAAGCAAGCAGTCACTCCACCTGACCGCCTTTGCACGAGGTCAATTGTTACACGAAACCGAAATGAAGTCCAGCCAGAAGGAGCCGAGAGAATGACAATCAGTAAAGCTTGTTATGAACTCGAAAGCAAGTCCAATCTGCAGATCCAAAGCTGAATCTCCTCCTCTTTGAGATGGATACCCCTTTTCCCATACACACCATTCCGCTTGAGGTTGACATCCACTCGACTACGCAGATCGACCTCGAGCCGAAAACCATTCAGCTCGAGGTCGATATCAGAGATGCACGCGACATAGACAAGACTCACCAGAAGCCCAGTAAACCACACCACCCGATCGTTTTCGTACGAGGTCAAGTGCAAGTCAATCGATCGTCCAAGCTCAACTAAAAACAGCAGAAATCAATTACAATCAGAAATCATCTTGTCTCATGAACAAACAAGATAGGTCATGTCTCAACGCGGTCCAGAGATTGGAATGATCATACCGCGGACGAAAATACCAAACGCGCAAGCAATCACGCTGACTAAGATGTTCTACCGACAAATGTGCAATTGAGGTGTGCAGTCGTGTCAAATCAAGGTCTAGAGATCGAGTTGATGGGATCGTAGAGGAAGAGTCAACCAAAACAAGATGAATCGCCTATTGTTAATGAGACCGTCTTATCGGGTACAAACTGCTGCTGCATAACCAAGCATAGATAGTCAGGTCAGCTCGAGCTTAAAATCCACATCCAATCAGCCGACTTCAAGCTAAATCTTCTCCAGCTCCAGATCGACATCCCATTTCACCTGCAGACCTCGAGTTCAATCCCCTCAACTTGAGGTCGACATACCCTCCAATATTCAGATCCACCTCGAGGCCAAAACCGTGCAACGCGAGGTCGATATTAGAGACTTAGGTAACATCCACAACACTCACCAGCAAACTGGAAACCACGCCAATAGATCGCTTTCGTGCGAGGTCGAGCACAAACCAACCAATCAATGTTAACTGAATGAAGCACAAAAGAAATCATCAGCATCCATTGTCTTCAGTTCGCTTCCGAACGCGGGTGAAGAAATCGTTAGCACACCTCAACACCAAACTGTTTAGTCGTCCTTCTATATCAACCAGTCTTCAACAATATCGTCCCTACAGATCGCCACCGTTTGTGGTCAGGCGAAAAAAACAAGCATTGGAGCCGTTCAGCTTTCACGGCGACATCCACTCCAATCTGCTATTCTGAAGCTGAATCCCCTCAAGCTGGGGATCGATATCCCATTCCATGAACAAACCTCGGGTCCAATCTACTTCGGCTCGATGACGATGTCCCCTCCACTATGCTGGTCGACCTCGGCATCAGAGCAGTACAAAGCGAGGTCAATATCAGACATGTACCCAAACCAGTGAAAACGCAGATGTAGGCAACCCAGACAAGACTGACCAGGGGACCAAGCAGACCGCCCACCAGATCGTTATCGCACCAAGTCCAGCGTAGTCCAATCGATTAATGAGGATTAACTACCAGATGATACAGTAAAAGACACTGATAATGAGAAACCAACCATACAGCACCGGACGCTGGGTTAATTGCCACGAAAGGAGCCTCACCGTTCAGTCGCGCCACATCGACCTCGAGGTGAAAGCTGTTCAACTCGAGGTTGGTAACGGAGATGTCGGTTCGATTATTGAAGTTTGAATAGAGGGAACACAAAGCATACCGTATGAGGTACCCAGGCGCTTGCAGAGACAGTCCAGAACGAGGAGCTTGCTTAATTGCGTCGACAAGGTCCAACGCAAGACAAAAGCCCGGTAGTAGTCGTTGGATTTGTGTAGAAACGGTCAGCCCGTGCCAAAGGTAAAAAGGCAACCCAGGGTTCAGTGGAGTCAGCACCAAGTCAACGTTTGTATGAAAAGAATCAGAAGTCAGAGAGACGAACAAGATGATATCCTATTTGGTACGTCTGATCGTCTTTGTACGGATTCCTGGGCCACCTGATGAAATCCAAAGGGAGGGCGAGTTCGAACTTCAGCGCCTTCGATGTTGGTGTTCGAGCTGAGATGAGGATGAATAAAGATCAGACTGTGAGGTCGAAGTCCAGTTGAGATCATGATGAGCACAGGTCAGCCGAACCCTCACAGCACGATCTGCAGATGTCACAACAATGTGCCACGTCCCACATGTCACAAGACTTCAAACCCCAGACCTCGAGCCAAAGACCGTTCGTCTCGAGGTCAACCCATATTCAGCTATCCTATGTATGATGCATCAGGGACCCAGCAGGGGCCTCAAACTGAAAGAGATTCAGCTGGAGGTCCATCCCTAGAGTCACAGGGGACCTCGAGTTGAATCTCTTTCACCTCGAGGTCGACACCCCCACCACAGACCTCGAGCTGAAAGAGATCCAGCTCAAGGTCGATTCATCACCATCCAGAATTGTGAAGGACCTCGAGCTGAATCGTTTTCAGCTCGAGGTCGTTATCTATTGGAAGGAAGTTCTCACAGACCTCGAGCTGAAAACGATTCAGCTTGAGGTCAATCGTTCCATATCCATCCACAAGGACAGGGGACCTTGAGCTGAACGGTTTCACGTCGAGGTCGACCCTCTGTTCTTCCTCTGGTTTCATCAAAGCCCCAGGGCCAAGAGCCTCATACGACTCGACCTCGAGTTGAAATAGTTTCATCTCGAGGTCGATGCGGGCCGTGCTGGGCCTCAATCTGTCCCCAGCGCCAACAGCCTCATAGGACTTCGACCTCGAGTTGAAATCGTTTCAGCTCGAGGTCGATGCGGGTTGTGCTGGGCCTCAATCTGTCCTCAGGGCCAACAGCCTCATACAACTTCGACCTCGAGTTGAAATAGTTTCAGCTCGAGGTCAATGCGGGCCGTGGGCCGGGCCTCAATCTGTTCCCAGGGCCGACTTCGACCTCGAGTTGAAATAGTTTCAACTCGAGGTTGATGCGGGCTGTGCTGGGCTTCAATCTGTCCTGCGGGCCAACAGCCTCATACGACTTCGACCTCGAGTTGAAATAGTTTCAGCTCGAGGTCAATGCGGGCCGTGGGCCGGGCCGGGCCCGGACGGGCTGGGCTCATTTGAACTTGAGATAAAATATAAGGTTTTAGTCTTTGTTCTGTGGGTCATTGTGACTCTCTCCACACAGTGGTCTCAAAAATCATGCTCCAAGAAATTATAAATACAGTCTGTCTTACAACGTCTTTGCTAAATAATATCATGATTTATTAATGTTTTAAAAGTGAATTCAAATGAAATCATTGCGTATTCTATGTCTTTCACAATATCATTCACTCACATCATGATTTGACAAAAATAATAATTGGTGGTATAGAACTAAATGTTCAATCAATAAACTCTTCCTCAGATCATGTCTGATTAAACCTTTCAAGGTAATATTTTGTTTCATGTGGGTTGTGTTAGTTGTTGGCTACATCATATTTATTCAGTAGTGTGTCTGTCTCTTCTGTTTGCATATATACCGTAAGGAAATTGCACAATCATCATGCGGATAAGGCAATGAACATAATACACCCAGCAACAAACATAATACAATAGAATGGGAAAATTACACGTTGATATTTATCCAGGTGAGGCAGTGAACATGCTATAGGACTATTTAGCCTCTATTAATTAGCAACACAATCAATCCCACATCGGAGAATGCCCAATCATGTCTGTGGTCTTTGCAGTTATTCCTGTGTTAATTTACGCACTTAATTGTTAGCGTTTTGGCAAGTACTTTTCCTTCATCTGTACTGGCAATAATTGTTTATGACTATTAATGCATGATCAGATCAATCAACTCATCAATATACAAAATTAGAGAGACAGGCAGTCCAAGTAATTGGAGATGGGGACTACACATTTCTGAGGGGCACCAGGCCACTAGACCATCATGGAAAGCCTCCCAGCAGGAGTTTAAGGCCATTGGTGGGTGCCCCAACTGTCCATTAAGTTGGATTTACATGTATATTGAATTTGCAGAATGTGGCCAATTTTTCTCTGTCTCTGTTCTGTAAAAACTCATGCATCATGAAATAAGAAATACACTATATCATGCCCTACGGGTTCGACACAAATCCCCACATTATTTATTAATGTGTACAATTTAATTCACGTGAAGCCATGATAGTCATTCATTCATATCAACATTTGAGTGAAATATATAACAAACGATTTGAGTGAAATATAAAACAGAATATTCAATCAACTCACTCTTCCTTAGCTTATGTCTGATTAAACCCTTCAGGGAAATATGTTGTTTCATGTAGATTGTGTGATTTGCTAGGTAGTTTATATTTATTGTTTTATGAGGAAGTGCTTATGGCTTTCAGTAAGCAGGACCCACTACAATGCAAATTGATGTATATCCACTATCTTTTCCAAAAGCATTCATCAAATAATCCTCACACTAAACACAGGTGAGAAGTAACCAAGTAACACACAGAATGATAAGATACCTCCCCCCCTCAAAAACATCACTTTCACACCACACATAAATGAATACATTTCAATGACATTGTTGAGGAGTGGAAGAGCAAATAGCAGGATTTAAATGATGAATGTGAGTTATCAATCAAGTAGATTGACCAACTGATTCTTTACCTGAGCAATATTTACTCTTTCAATCACATTTATTCTATAATGATACTTTGTTTCTTCTGTTTCTGAGAGAGAAGTAGAAAGGGTCTCATGCTGTTTATGAGTAAGAAGTTGAAAGGATCCTGTGCAAATCACTGCAAAAAACAGCCCTGAAGTAAACATTTTCTGCAAATTACTTGAGCTGTCAGCTGTCTTATTCATTACAAGTGATGCAAAAGCAAGACAATTGGCTACTCAGGCTTGAAATGAAAAATTGTAGTAAGGGAAAAGAAAGAGAGCTTATGAATCAAGAAGATCAACCGATTCATTCTCTGCTTATTCTGCCCTTTTGCCAATGACTTGTAGGAACATTATTAGGCATACTGTTTCCTCAAGTGCCACAGTGTGCCTTCTGGAGAACATACAGCTCAGCCACAAATTACTAGGACCTCCCTGTCAAGACCTGTCACCTCTAGGTCAATGGGCTTTTTTTCACTTTCCCTGCTCAATTCCACAGTGCTTTTGAAACATACTCACCAATCAAGGGCATGGATATGATCAAATTCACAAATTTTGACACAGGAATAGAAAGAAAACAATCAGATAAAGAGACACCAGAGAGACAATTAAAAAGCAAAGGAAACTCACAAGAATAAATAATTGGTAAGAAATAAAACTCCCTGTAGAAGAAGGTGGGTGCTATCTCAACAATCTGACACCGTGAAATACCGGTTCTTGTTCCAAGGACTTCTAGAAAAATAATTATTTGGTGAATTGAGAGAATGCACCCTCTGGAGCACATACAACTCAACCAGATACTCACTGGAACCTCTTTCTCAAATACTTTCACCTCCAGGTCAATGCACTTTTTTCAGCTATTTCAGATGGACTGGCAGAATTGTGAGCTATGGCAAACAATTTTCTACAACTTTCTCTTGTTTTTGCCACCAATTCCATTGTTCAATTGGTGCCTGCTCACCCAGTAAGCCCAATTAGGTACTCTGACCTCCTTTGAAAAGTTATTCACCACTAGGTCAATAGCTTTTTGGGGGCATCCTTTGAACACATTGCTTTATTTTTGCTTTTCCTTATCAAGATAGGCAGATACTCTACAAATTATATGCTCTTGTTAGCCCCTTTCTCACAAATCAATTTCAACCTGGAGGCATCAGTTATCCAGGTAGAATCTAAGTGCATTGCCTACTTTATCTTACTGACTCATTTGTGATTTTTATGGCTTAAACTTTTAATTGGTTGCTTGTCATCTCATGGAGAATTAATATTTCTGTATTGGTACAGCTTTATTTTCAACCTGGTTGCAGTTCATATCATGGAAATTTAAAATTAAATAGTCTGAATACATCAACACATCATTCAAAATAACAATTACACAGTCTAGATACATCAACCAGCCACATTTTTTGTATTATTTTTCTACCTGGGCTGGATCGAAGTCTACCTCAGGAAACAATTCTCAAAAAATCAGGCAAAGGCCCAATGACCAATGGTCTACCTGGTCTACCTCTCCCCTACACCAGGTAGACAGGTAGACATCATTGGGCGCCCATACGTCTGATGAAAACACTAGAGGTAATGAAATCATTGCATTAAGCACAAAGGAGAGAACCAGAAGAGTAAGTTGGGTATATTTTATTTGGAAGAACATTTGAGAAGAAAATTTGATTTGTTTGTCTAATTATGGAATTATGAACTTATCAGAAATGGATGTGGGAGCATGGACAAGAATTTGAAAAATGGATTGACAGGAAAATTATCTATTTAATGGGCCTAGGCAAATTATTCATCTAACTGAAGGCTACTGGGTAGGGTTACTTGAATCAAATCTCTTATATTTGGAGCTCAGAAAAGATAGGATATGTCTAAATTGACTTATTTCATAGCATCCCATGTTGGGGATGTCCAGGTGGTTGAAGAAGACTGATAAGTTTGTTTCTGGATTTTGTAAAAGGGCCTCATGTGAATTGTTGAGGACAGTTTGTAAGGTGGATTGCAATTTGGTGTGTCTGATATCCTTGAGATCCTGCCTTATCAACTTGATCTCTTCCAGGGACTTGGAATCTTGAGGAGCTCTATACAGATTATGAAAAACAGATGCACAGTTAGAAATGAAATCATAAGGAGCAAAGGAATTAAGAAATGAGCTCAACAGTTCAAGAAAAAGTTTGGACATTTCAAACCAGTAGAATGGCAATGGTGAAAGCAGCAAAGAATTTCTTTCCATTTGTCTAGCCTTCTTCAGTTCCTCCAAGGAGAACCATGTGGGTAGCAATACCTCACCCAGTTTTTTTTTGTGCAATTCAATCACCATCCAGATTGGCAGAGTGGTTGATATGTTGGGCACCAAATCTTGAAACTTCTTGTCAGTATCCAATGTTCTAAAGCCTTGCACACGTTTGTTGGGGATAAAGCCCAACTCTTCAGTCTTAGTCATTATAAAGTAAGCCTCCTCTGGATCAAGTGCTGTTCTTTGGAATACTGGAGTTGCCATGGTTTCTAAAAGGAAGAGCAAGGGGTTGTGGGGAGAGGAATGTCAGTTGCATTGAATGTGCTTAATGAGTAGTGAGTGGTGCTCACCCAAAGTTTTCAATTCCTGAGTGCCTGGTTCTGTGGAATATATTGAAAGAGTTAGAGATTATTTTCTTTTTGGACCAAATAGCTCTTGGAATTGGAATTAAAAGATCAGTTTCAATGTCTTTTTGCAATTGAGGAACTCTGCCAGATTGAGGTAAAAAGCTTACACAAAGTTTACAGCTCCAAGGAAGCTGGTTCTGTGAATATTGAAGCCGTTGAATGGGTGAGTGAATGATTCTGAGGATGAAAAGGTTGGCTCTTATATAATAAAACATCAAGCGGTCAAAATGTGGGTGGGTTAGGTTAGGGTTGGGCTACTTTTTTCTTGTCATGAATACAGGCGGCCAAAATGTGGGTGAGATATTGGTTGGGGTTCAAATTCATGCATGAAGTATTTGTTAGGGTTGAAATTTGTGCAAATAGGACCCACATATTTCATCAGTAGGTTCAAATCATTAAACCTAACCCTTATGACCCTTTGAAAATGTTGCATGGAT